GTGTTGAAGTCTCCTACTATTAATGTGTGGGGATCTATGTGTGGTTTAAATTTTATCAATGTCTCTTTTACAAATGTGGATGCCCTTGTATTTGGGGCATAGATGTTCAGGATTGTGATGTCTTCAGAGGTGGAGTTTTCCCTTGATGAGTATGAAGTGTCCTTTCCCATATTTTTTGATTAATTTTGGTTGAACGTCTATTTTATCAGTTATTAGAATGGCTACTCCTGCTTGCTTCTTGGGTCCATTTGCTTGGAAAGCCGTCTTCCAACCATTTACCCTTAGCTAATGTCTATTTTTGTGACTTAGTTGAGTTTCTTGTATGCAACAGATGGGTTTTGTTTACACATCCGTTCTGTTAATCTGTGTATTTTTATTGGAGAATTGAGTCCATTGATGTTGAGAGAGATTAATGTCCAGTGACTGTTAGATCATTTGATTTTGGTGTTGCCTGTGGTCATAAGGTTGTGTGTTTGGTTGCTTTTTGTTTTACTGTAGTGAGGTTAATTATTTCCTGTGTTTTCTTGAAAGTAGCTAGTTTTCTTGGGTTGTATTTTCCCTTCTAGTGTCTTCTGTAATATTGGATTTGTGTGTAGGTATTTTTGAAATTGATTTTTGTCATTGAATATCTTGTTTTCTCCGTCTATGAGGACTGAGAGTTTTTCTGGATATAGTAGCCTGGGATGATGTCTGTGTTCTCTTAGGGTCTGCATGATATCTGTCCAGGCCCTTCTGGCTTTCATAGTCTCTGTTGAGAAGTCAGGTGTGATTCCAATGGGTTTGCCATTATATGTTACTTGGTCTTTTTCCCTTGTAGCTTTTAGTATTTTTTCTTTATTCTGTATACTTACTGTTTTGATTATTCTGTGGCGGGAGGATTTTCTTTTCTGGTCTAATTTATTGGTTGTTCTGTAGGCTTCTTAAGTTCTTACTGGTCTCTCCTTTAAATTGGGGAAATTTTCTTCAATGATTTTGTTGGAGATATTTTCTGGTCCTTGGAGCAGGGAAACTTCTTTTTCCTCTACACCTATTATTCTTAGGTTTTGTCTTTTTATTTTGTCTTGAATTTCTTGGACAGTCTGTGTCAGGATTTTTTTTAGATTTAACATTTTCTTTGACAGATACATCTATTTCTTCCACTGTACCTTCCACAACTGAGATTCTTTCTTCCATGTGTTGTAGTCTATTGCTTATGCTAACTTCTGTGGTTCCTGTTTTCTTCCCTAAGTTCTTTCTTTCCACAATTTCCTCCATTTGTGTTTTCTTTAAGTTTTCCAATTCTATCTTCAGGTCTTCAGCCATTTTGTTGATTTCCTTCACTTGTCTGACTGTATTTTCCTGTTTTCCATCAATTCCCTCAGCTGTTTGTTTGAACAATCCTCTTTTTCTTTTATTTCATTCAGTGATTTAAGCATTTCCTCTCTATAGGCCACTAACTGTTTGGCTACAACTTCCTCTATTTCTTTACAGATGGCCATAAACTGTTTTTATTTTCCTCTATTTCTTTACACATTTTATTTGTTTCCTCTGTTATCTTCTTCATGATCATAGATGCTAGGTCCTCTTCTTGCATTTCAATTATGCTGGGGTATCTAGGGCTACCTGTCCCTGGATAACTGGGTTCTGGAGATGCCATATAGCTCTGGCTTTTGTTGGTTGAACTTTTACTCTGGCCTCTACCCATTGGGTTATCTTAGGTTTTTGAAGTTGGTTTCAGGTTTTTCCTGGAATCCTGCAGTGGAGAGAATCCCTTTGGCAGGAAGATGGTTTTTTCTGAAGGAAGCCTTCTCAGCTTTTTGGGTATAGTCACTGGATGGCTGGTGTTTTTCAGGAGTTGCCGCTGCTCACCTCAGTCGTAGAGACCTGAATGGTAACTGTGGTCCTTATTAGTTGAGAGGGCTCTCCTCTCACCAGGAGAAGTCCTGAAGACAGCTGCCCAGTTTCTTGCAGTGAATTTAGTAATCTGCTGCTGTAACCTGTGTGTCCCGTGGTTTGGTCAGTTTTGTTAGGGATAAGTGTTTGCCCTGTGAAGCAGTATCTGGGGGTTGATCTCGGGGATCCTGGGCTTTTGAAGGTCTGAGGTCGGGGCTCTGTGCCTCAGTACCCAAGCAGTAATCTGTGGTGGATGAGTACTGCTCTCCTGGTAACAGCAGGCTATCTGGTGCACAGCAGGTCCCTGGGTTGGGCCAGTCTGTGGGACCTTTTCCAGAGATATACTGGGTGGCCTAAGTTCGCCCCCTTTGCTTAGTTTCCTGTGAGGATTTCTCCAGACAGTGACACCAAGTCTCTGGTGTCCTGGGGCACACAGTTCTGACTGTGAGGAATAGTTGGTACAAAGCAGGTCTGTGGGCTGGTGGCACCTGCGCCTGCCTGCTAGTCTGCAGGAGCTGGGTGCCCAACTGCTCTTTGTGCTTCCGGCCTGAGGCCAGTTCGGTGATAAGGCTCATACCCACTGGTCTGTGAGAGACTTTCCCCAGGTAAAGCCTGGCTTGCCCAAGTCAGTACTGTTTCCTTCATTCCCTGTGGGGGTCTCTCCCGACAGGAACTCCCAGACTGTGTTGCACTAGGACGCGCAGCTCTGTCTGTAGAAGAAACCTGGGTGCGCAGTTCCTCTCTGTGCTGGTGCTGGCACTGGTGGCAGAAGCCCAGGTGAGTGATGGGGCTCATATCCACCGGTCTGTGAGAGACTTTCCCCAGGTAAAGCCTGGGCATCCCAAGTCAGTATTGTTTCTTTCTTTCCCTGTGTGGCCCTCTCCCGACAGGAACTCCCTGTCTTTGTTGCACTAGGGCGCGCAGCTCCATCTGTGCTAGAGAGCTGGGCACAGCCACTACGTGCTGGCAGCAGGAGGCCAGCTAAGTGATGGTGGCAGGTACCTGCGGTCTGCAAGAGTTTTTCCAGGGAAAGACTGGATGACCCATGGTCAGTCCCGCTGCTTTCCTTCCCTGTGGGTTTTTCTCAGATTGGGACACCTGGCCCTGGTGTTTTTCTGCCCACTGATAAGCCTGGGAAGGTAATCAAGACACACAGGCATCTGGCTCTGGTAAGGGGACCTACTGCCTGCGCGACCCTGGATCTCTTCCGGGTTCTGGCAGGGTGGCCTGAGATTGGACCAAACTGATTCTCATTCCATGGGGGTTTCCTCTCACCTGGAAAACACGATCACTGTTGTTTTAGGAACCTAAGTTCAGTTGTTTGGTCGCTGCATGGAAAATGTTGTCCTGCGTCTTAGATGCAGTGTTCTCCTACCGCTGCCATCTTAGCCATCAATCCTACCAGAGAATCTTATATATTCTTGGGGCACATCTGAGTGTGAGAACTGATGACTCCACCAACAAGCACATTTTCTGAATGCCTACTGCTCTGATAGTCTATGCTGTCAAATGGAGGGCCCATTCCTTTGTCTTCTCTCTTGTCTTGTAGTCATCTACCATGACCTTTTGGAGCTCACAGCCTCACACCATCCAGGTAAGTGGAAAGATCCTGCCTCTAGACATCCTTTCCTACACCAAATGCCTGCACCTTCTACATACTCAGCTGGTGTCAGCTTATTTACTTTGGGTGAATCTGAAAAGGGTCTGCCCCACACACTTCCATTTCTAGACTGGTGATTCCAAACTTCCTGGAATCCATGAATTTTAACAGAAATAAACATGAGTGAATGTTCACAGACAAAATGGGATACCTGAGAGCTGCACTCTGAATTTTCTTTTTTGGTGACGTATGGCAGATTTGTAGGAACCACCAAATCCATTCTTGCCTGGTCTCAGGTTTCTGCTTGCAATGCCACCCTTGAGCAGGAGCTTCAGCGATTGACAGGCTGACAGTTCCTGAAGGCTATCATTCTCCACAATAGCCATGCTCCCTCAGAACCATTGCAGGGGTTGGATTAGTCATCACACAATCACTCAGATGTCAGTCACTTGCCCTGGTGATTGGACCGAGGGAAATCAGCAAGAATCATGGGTTGAGTTTTGGCCCTGGATATCCTCATCTGTTTATTTTTCAACTCTTACTTGGTGATCATTCTCCAGACAATCGTAAGTAGATCCACCTGCAGGCCCACTGACAAGGGCAGTAGCTGAGAGCTGGGCTCTGGGTTTTCCATTTGGGGGATTTCGTGCAGGAAATTTGTAGAAATCGCCAAATCCATTCATCCTGATTTTAGGTTTCTACTTGCACTACCACTCTTGAGCAGGAGCTGCAGCAATTGACATGCGACAGTTAGGGTAGGCTCTAAATCTCCCATGTCGGCAAGCACACTGGGAACAAATGCCAGGATTGGCATAAGCGATCATATTTGCACCCCGAAGTGACATAGCCTACTAATTGGACCAAGGAAAATCATGAGATTCGTGGGTTTTCCTTTGGCCCTGGATATCATCATCTGTGTTTCTATCTTCTCTTTCTTGGTGAACATTCTCCATAAAATCAGAAAGTACAAGGACATGTAGGACCACAGATAAGGTCAGGTGTAATCTCACAGACACAAATGCCATGAGACACAGTGAGAATTCCTGTAGTAGATTCAACACAATGAAAGAGCTTCTTTAAAATACATTTGCATTATATATACATTTTTTTTTTTTATAAAACACAGTTGCTTAACTTGGCATCCAATTCAAGCCTCCTCCCTCCTCACCAGCCAATCCCACTCTCCCTCCCTCATGTCCTCCAATGGCCCTTGCCAAGTCCACTGTTAGGGACCTCCTCGACTTCCTCCTGACATAGCCTATCAAGTCTCACCAGCACTGACGGTATTGTCTTTCTCTGTGGCCTACTAAAGCTGCTTCCCATCAGGAGGAAGTGTTCAAATGGCCAGCCACTGAGTTCAGGTCAGAGATGTTCCCTGTTGTCATTACTAGGGAACTCACCTGGAGACTGAGCTGCCAAGGGCTGCATCTGGGCGGTGGCTCTACAGTTTCTGGGTTTTCCCCATGCATTGCCCCGGGTTGGAGTATCAGCCTAAGAGGAGACCCATGGGACCTGATGTTTTGGATCTGTTGCCCTTCGTCTCTTCCTTGGTGATCATTCTACAGCCAAGCAGGAAGTACAAGCACGGGTAGGACCACTGAGAAGGGCAGGTATAATCTGACAGACACCAATGCGAGGAAAGGCAGTAAGAATTCCTGGAGTATACTCAAAGGCGTTTTAGGGCTTTTCAACCTACAGCCACGGACGAACATTAGAGCTAACACAGAATTCTCCACCATACTTTGAGTTCATGTGTCTCCCGTGATCTTTTAGCGCTAGCAGTAAAAATGAGAATCCATCCTAGGATTTCAAGGCAAGAGTTAGTCCCTGCGGAGAAGGGATCATCACCTGGTGATGTTTCCTCTGGTGCATAATGGCTGCTGCAGCAGATATTTGTCCATTCTGCAGGGTTGCTCTGCATGGCCTTGCCGAAAAGGGATGAGATGGTAGGTGGATGAGATGCTAGGACAGTGGACATGGTAATGAAAGGTGTGAGCTGGCTCATCTGAATGTGGAAGCAGAGAGGCTAAGGGCGATTCTCTTAGTATTTTGGCTAATTGGCATCGATTAACCTTGTAGCATGCACCACTTTCTTCTGTGCTTTGCTGTCCTGTTAGGACAGAATAGGCAGCCACCCGTGCTTTTATCCCCAAAGGCAGAAATCCAAAAGGAAACTCCTCAGGTTACTATGACCTGAACGTTTTCTGCAGAAAAGGACATACAAGTGCCATGAACACATTCTCTTCCACCCTACCCACACTGTACTTCACAGAGATGAGAAATGGTGTCCCTGAGGCCCTTGACGTTGTCTCAACCCTGCTACCTTGTGCGGCCTAAATGTTCCCCACCTACCTCCGAGGAAGTCCTGTCAGCTCCGGTAAGCAGCTATTGTTGAGGATCACAAAGCACTTGTAGCTGTGTCTGTAAATAGCTGGGTCTATGATGATAACCCAATGTCACGAAGAGAGGTGATGACATAAAAATCATGCTTAATAGGATCACGCTGAGGCCCAGCCAGCCAGACCTGGGAGAGGAGGGACTATTTCTCCATGAGACAAGTGATGTTTATGGAGGTCCTTAGGTCTCAAAGCCCCATTATACCTGAGGGAGTTTCCTATGCACTCCTTGGGCACATCTCTGAGTGAGCACCAAGGGCCCCATCGACCAGCACAATTTCTGAATTTCTACTGTTCCCCTAGACTATGCTGCCAAGGGGCAGGGGGCTCATGCCTTTGTCTTCTCTCTTTTCTTGTAGTCATCTGCTGGGACCTCTTGCAGTCCGAAGCATCACACCATTCAGGTAAGTGGAAAGTTGCTTGCTTGCAAAACATGGTCCACCGACTATGCCTCCAGTTTTACAGTCTCTGCTGGTCTCAAATTATCATCTTTGGGTGAAACAGACAATGGTCTTCCCAGGATCATTGCCTCCATTTCTAGAGCAGGAATTCCAGATTTCCTGGATTGCCATCATTCTCACTCAAATAGATATGTGTTAATGTTCACAGACAGAACGCTGTAGCTGAGAGCTGGGCTCTGGGTTTTCCATTTGGGTGATCTCCCGCAGGAGATTTGTAGGAATTGACAAATCCATTCATCCTGATTTTAGGTTTCTGCTTGCACTGACACTCTTGAGCAGGAGCTGCAGCAATTGACATGAACACAGTTAGAGTAGGCTCTAAATCTCCCACGTCCCAAAGCACCCGGGGAACAAATGCCAGGATTGGCATAAGAGATTATATTTGCACCCGAATTCAATTAGCCTAGTAATTGGACCTAGGGAAATCACTAGATTCTTGGGTTTTCCTTTGGCCCTGTATATCATCATCTGTGTTTCTTTCTTCTCTTACTTGGTGAACATTCTCCATTCAATCAGAAACTATAAGGACTTGTAAGACCACTGATAAGGTCAGGTGTAATCTCACAGACAGAAATGCCATGAGACACAGTGAGAATTCCAGTAGTAGACTCAAAACCACGGAAGAGCTTCTTTAAAACATATTTACATTATATATACATTTTTTGATAATACACAGTTGCTTAACTTGGCATCCAACTCAAGCCTCCTCCCTCCTCAACACCCAATCTCACCCTCCCTTCCTCTTGTCCTCCTATGCTCTTTGCCAAGTCCACTGTTAGGGAAAGACCTCCTCAACTTCCACCTGACCTAGCGTATGAAGTCTCACCAGCACTGACGGCATTGTCTTCCTCTGTGGCCTGATAAAGCTGCTTCCCCAACAGGGGGAAGTGTTCAAAGGGCCAGCCACTGAGTTCATGTCAGACACAGTCCCTGTTGCCATTACTAGGGAACTCACCTGGAGTCTGAGCTGCCAAGGGCTGCATCTGGGCGGTGGCTCTAGAGTTTCTGGGTTATCACCATGCATTGCCCCGGGTTGGACTATCAGCCTAAGAGGAGACCCATGGGCCCTGATGTTTTGGATCAGTTGCAACTTCATCACTTACTTGGTGATCATTCTACAGCCAAGCAGGAAGTATAAGCACGGGTAGGACCACTGAGAAGGACAGGTATAATCTGACAGACACCAATGCCAGGAAAGGCAATAAAAATTCCTGGAGTATACTCAAAGGCATTCGAGAGCTTTTAAACCTCCAGCCACGGACGGACAGAATTCTGCACCATACTTTGAGATCATGTGTCTCCCGTGATCTTTTAGCGCTAGCAGTAAAAATGAGAATCCATCCTAGGATTTCAAGGCGAGAGTTAGTCCGTTCAGAGAAGGGATCATCAACTGGTGATGTTTCCTCTGGTGCATAATGGCTGCTACAGCAGATGTTTGTCAATTCTGCAGGGTTGCTCTGCATGGCCTTGCCGAAAAGGGATGAGATGGTCGGTGGATGAGATGCTAGGACAGTGGACATGGTAATGAAAGTTGTGAGATGACTCATCTGACTGTGGAAGCAGTGAGGCTAAGGGCGATTCTCTTAGTATTTTGGCTTCCTTGTAATCGACTAACCTTGTAGCATGCACCACTTATCTTCGGTGCTTTGCTTTCCTGTTAGGACAGAATAGGCAGCCACCCTTGCTTTTATCCCCAAAGGCAGAAATCCAAAAGGAACCTCCTCAGGTTACTATGACCTGAATGTTTTCTGCAGAAAAGGACTTACAAGTGTGTTGAAAACATTCTCTTCCACCCTACCCACACTGTACTTCACAGAGATGAGAAATGGTGTCCCTGAGGCCCTTGGCGTTGTCTCAACCATACTACCCTCTGCGGCCTAAAAGTTCCCCCACCTACCTCCGAGGAAGTCCTGTCAGCTCCGGTAAGCAGCTATTGTTGAGGATCAGAAAGCACTTGTAGCAGTGTCTGTCCATGGCTGGGTCTATGATGATAACCCAATGTCATGAAGAGAGGTGATGACATAAAAATCATGCTTAATAGGATCATGCTGAGGCCCAGTCAGCCCGACCTGGGAGATGAGGGCCTACTTCTCCTTGAGACAAGTGATGTTTATGGAGGTCCTTAGGTCTCAAAGCCCCATTATCCCTGAGGGAGATTCCTATACACTCCCGGGGCACATCTCTGTGTGAGCACCGAGGGCCCCATCGACCAGCACATTTTCTGAATTTCTACTGCTCCCCTAGACTATGCTGCCAAGGGGCAGGGGGCTCATACCTTTGTCTTCTCTCTTTTCTTGTAGTCATCTGCCGTGACCTCTTGCAGTCCCAAGCATCACAACATTCAGGTAAGTGGAAAGTTGCTGCCTTAGGACACATGTTCCACCGACTATGCCTCCAGGTTTTACAGCCTCTACTGGTCTCAAATTATCGTCTTTGGGTGAAACAAACAATGGTCTGCCCAGGAAAACTCCATTCTAGAGCAGGAATTCCAGATTTCCTGAATTCCCATCATTCTCACTCAAATAGATATGAGTTAATGTTCTCAGACAGAACCCTGTAGCTGAGAGCTGGGCTCTGGAAATGAAAACTTGGGTGATCTCCTGCATGTTATTTGTAGGAAGAGACAATTCCATTCATCCTGATTTTAGGTTTCTGCTTGCACTGCCACTCTTTAGCAGGAGCTGTAGCAATTAATGTGCCGACTGTTAGAGTAGGCTTTAAATCTCCCACGTCCCCAAGCACCCTGTGAACAAATGATAGGATTGGCATAAGCGATCATATTTGCACCCCTAAGTCACTTAGCCTAGTAATTGGACCTAGGGACATCACAAGATTCGTGGGGTTTTTTTGGCCCTGTTTATCATCATCTGTCTTTCTTTCTTCTCTTACTTGGTGAACATTCTCCATCCAATCAGGAAATACAAGGACATGTAAGACCACTGATAAGGTCAGGTGTACTCTCACAGACAGAAATGCCATGAGACACAGTGAGAATTTCAGTAGTAGACTCAAAACCATGGAAGAACTTCTTTAAAATACATTTACATTATATATACATTTTTTTGATAAAACACAGTTGCTTAACTTGGCATCCAACTCAAGCCTCCTCCCTCCTCAACACCCAATCTCACCCTCCCTTAATCTTGTCCTCCTATGCCCCTTGCCAAGTCCACTGTTAGGGAAAGACCTCCTCAACTTCCACCTGACCTAGCATATGAAGTCTCACCAGCACTGACGGCATTGTCTTCCTCTGTGGCCTGCTAAAGCTGCTTCCCCAACAGGGGGAAGTGTTCAAAGGGCCAGCCACTGAGTTCAGGTCAGACACAGTCCCTGTTGCCATTACTAGGGAACTCACCTGGAGACTGAGCTGCCAAGGGCTGCATCTGGGCGGTGGCTCTAGAGTTTCTGGGTTATCCCCATGCAAGGCCCCGGGTTGGACTATCAGCCTAAGAGGAGACCCATGGGCCCTGATGTTTTGGATCTGTTGCTCTTCATCACTTACTTGGTGATCATTCTACAGCCAAGCAGGAAGTACAAGCACGGGTAGGACCACTGAGAAGGACAGGTATAATCTGACAGACACCAA